AAATACTATCCAGCTTCTGTGAGTTCTAAGTCTTTTTATGCTTTTTTTCTCCTAGCATTGCAACATTCTACACTCATCCCTCTCATTCATCTCGTTTGTATGGTCATTCATCCTGGAGAGCATAGCATGGCCACCACCACATTAGTTACCACAAAATTCAATTGCTTTCACGTCGAAATGAGTGGGCGTTCCACGCTCAGAACAACCAACTAAGCAGCCAAACAATCTTTCATTCCGTCGTTCGTTCGTTCATTCGACGGACGTTCGTTGTTTTTGTGGTCGTTGTTATGTGGCTTCTATTAGACTGCAATTTTAGGATTTCGCTCTTTGCTTTGTGGCATCATCATCATCGTCGTCATCCTCATCGCCAACATCGTTCAGTGCGGCGGCAATGAACTGTGTCGAAAGTAACACACAGAAAAAAAATCTTCATGATTTCGGACGTGCATGTCGTTCAAACATTAATCTCTAGGCTGAGGCTAATGCTTACGATTTACAATGATTGTCTTTTGTATTCTTTTTCAATGCACTACAACCGGCAAGCGGAGAATTAGAATGAATGCTGAGAGCTGCAACATATTATGAACTGCAATCCGTCCATATGAATGGCCTTTATACTATAATCAGAAATAGCACGGTCCTTTTTCAATATTTCCGAAGTCCTGACTCACATAATGCCCAGAAACAAAGTCATCAAAAACTTAACCAATTGTATGTTTTTAGAACATGGTATACTATGGTCGCGTAGTGCATGACCCAACTCGACTATAGCCCACTTCTACCTATTATGTTTATTTTATCCATCCAAAGACAAATTCATGCTTTCTGAGGCCAGAAATAATATTGATTTTTCAAATGCATGGTGGTAATAAATAATCCATGACGGAATATTGAATAATAAATTATTGAAAGTCCAACGAAACTAGCAAGCAAGTTAGCCTACATCAAATATATATACATATACACACGTACTCATATACTTGTTAATGTCTGCGTTAAAAATTGACAAGGCAAAGTGTCATATGCATAAATATGGTACGCCAGTATATTTTATAATTTGCATTGAATATGTTGTACATTAGATAGTAGTTTATTTATATTAAATCACTACACTCAACATATTTTTTTCAAATGATAACTAATATTTTATACCAACAATAAATAGAAGTTTCCTCTCTAGTACTTATGCACATACTCCTATTTAACCAGTCTACCAAAAATGTTGTAATGCTACTGCTTATCTTATCACTTACAGCAGTGGTGAAATACTCTCCCACGCAGAATTTCTTTCCATTGTAAACAAATGCAACACACACAAAATGTAAATACTAAACGAGTTTACTTTTTTTCCATAATTTTGTTAATCAAATTAAGGTATTACTAGGTTAACATTATTTATAATGAGAGAAATAGAGTGAGAGAGGTAGGTTGAGTGAGGAAGATTGTCATACATGTGGAGAGTTTACTTTTTTTATCGGATATAAAATTTTTGTCAACAAATGTTACTCATTGCGTATGAGTGGACGGAATAGGGCTTATCTTATCAGATGAAGAAGGTTAGCTACACTGTTGTGAAGGCAGTATTGTTTTATGCAATGAAATGTTGAACACAAGAGGAATAAATAATTAATTTAATAATTGAGGAAATAAAAAATTAAAAAATATATTACAAAAACCTTACCATATTTCCCAAAATTTTGATTGTTATAAGTAATATCAAATGTGTTATTTTTATTTTGTGGCCTGAATAAAAAAATCAATTTTAATTATTTATTTTTTAACGGAAAAAATGATAGTTGGTTAAATATTAAAATTATTATTTTTCGTCAAAAATAAAAATCATTTCAGGGTTATTACATTTTCTGTCAGAAAAAATAATACTCATTAGATTAATTTTATTTTTAACGGAACAAATAGCAATAATTTTTAGCAGTTATAAACCAACGTTTATTTTTTCCGTTGAGTAATAAGTCTTCACATGGGAATTGTGAGTGTTTTCTCAAGATCACTAAATATTCTTAATGGGCTCGTCAATACGAATCTATTCGTATATGACTATAGGCGTCCAATGTTTCTAACAGTTTTTCGTTCATATTTTTAGAATAGTACGCTTGGTAGGGTGGAACATAAGTCTAAGTCATATAAGGATATACCTATCAGAAACAAATTACAAGCTACACAGAAACACTCCTCACGCCCCATAAAGCACATAAAGTTTGGCCAAAATCGGTGCAGTCGTTTCTGAATTTAGCGATCATGGACATACACGTAACTTATATATAGTGATATTTGTATAATAATATATTCAATTTGTCATTTCATTTATAACATCTCAAATATTCTTCGTAGACCCCATTATTCTGGATCTGTTGAAATCGCGATAGAGATCTCAATATTTAAGATATGGCTTTGAAATGCTGGCTTGACGCCTATGATGTTTGGTATTACAAATGGGTTAAATTGGTCCTCTTTTTCGTATTGCCCCCATATAACGGTACTGGCCAATATATATTCGGAATTTTTAAGGTTTTGTGTGCATTTTGGAATTTGACATACATCTATTTATATATATCCTGATTGTCATGTCTTAGCATAGCCCCCATATAAAGGTTCCAGTCAATTCCAGTTTCTTTGTAAAAAAAACTTTATCTAGAATATATGTAAAGTTTATTGATTATTTTCTGTTAATATCCCCATAAAGAAAACACAACACATTTTAGGTTTTTTTTTGTGTTTGCTTCTAGTAGCATTTTCCGTCCGATGTGGCAAAAATCGGGTAATCAGTTAACAAAATATTTCTGATAGAAAAATTGTAATATGCATACGTCCGCGTGTTCCCACAGCCTACATAGAAATGTCTGACACCCTTTTAGCCATCGACCCGGATTTCCGTAATTTAGTATTTCGGGTTATCTGATAAAGACATATTTTCCCAGAAATTTTTAATACAATTCCAAGTCATCCCAGATATTTATGGAGTTATTCCATATATGTAGGTCCAATTTATTTTTAATTCGACTCAGTTGAATAAGATGATGATTTTGCTTGTCTGAGAATAGTTTTTTTGGTTTGTTTTCAGAGCAGTGCCTAGGACTAAGTTGCATCGATATATTGACTGACTGACTGATTTAACGATTCATTAACGTCCAGACGAAACGGCTGAAGCTAGAATTTCGGGTGAGGGTCACTCTTGGTGCTAAGGTGACAGATAAGGCTGGGTTTTTGGAAATTCGTACTAGAACGGTACGAAAAGTACTAAATGTGATACCATTTGTATTTGGCGAAGCGGTAGAGCTAGAACTTTTAAATGAGGGGTTTTTTTTGACATTCGAACTATAAGTATGCGAAAAATACTAAAATGTACTAAATTTATTACAATTTCGTAGCGTGTGAGTGGATAGAAATTCGTACTACTGCTTACTAAATTTGGTACAATTTTAATTGTGGGTGAACCGATAGTGTTGGCATCCTGAAACTTGGATTAAGGATCACTGTAGGGGTGTAGGTTTGGGTTAAATAGAAAGTTTTGGAAATTCGTACTACTGTGTACTATACTTAGTACAATTTGAATTGTGGGTGAATCAATAGAGTTGAAATCCTGATATTTGAATTTGAAATTATTGTGGGTATGTAGAATCGGGGTATGCAGGAAGTTTTGATGGATGGTTGAGGAGGATACTTTTGGAAATAACGTGTGCTAAATGAAACTAAATTTGGTAAAATTTATATTTAAGTGAACCTTTAGAGCTCGAATCATGAAATTTGGTACTAAATGGTACTCAAATTCGATTTATGGTCAATATTAATGTGCAGATTTTTTGTTTTTCTGGCATATGCAGTGTTTTGTGAAAATAGCATAACATGTTTAAATTATTCCCACATTCGTTAACGAAGTAACAGGCATATGCTATATCATAAAAATGATATATGTAATTATGATAAAATTAATGTGACAACAAAATGTACACATTTTGGTTATGTCGAATATCACCAAAGTTTGTTTTCAGTTATGTATCTACTTAAAAATGTTTTTAAATCGTGTTTTGTCTGAGGTTGCTTTTTTAGCATTACCTTATAATTAAGATTTTATCGAATTCATGATTTCAATTGTATTTCATGATGTAGGTAGTATTGGAAATTCTTACTTATGATTGTTAACTGATACTCAATTTGGATTTGGGTGAAGCTATATTTTATTTTATTTTTTAATAAGTATTTCAAGAGTACAAAGGGTAAAAATGACACCAAATTTAGTATAGAGGTAGATTTCTGTTGCGTTCGGAATGGCTGTGTATGCTTGAGATATAGAGGTGATTTTGAAAATCGTACTATAGGAGAACATATGTACTAAATGGTTCTAAAATGTTAAAAATGATCGATACTGGGCTTAAAATACATTCCACATTCGCTATCGATGTAGCGGGTATATGCTAGTAATATAAATATTTGCGAATGATATGCTATACACATGATACGAATATATATTTTTATACTATCCATCATAAGATTCATCAGAGACCCCATAGTATATAATCTTGTCTTGTAATTCTATATCTATGATTTAGCCATATCTGTATGTCTGTTGAATCACGATACAGATCACAATATTTAAGATAGAGCTTAAAAGTAAACGCTAATATTCCTATTAATCCTAGGCTGGCTGTCTGAGAATAGTTTTTACTAACATAAATTTATATATTTTTAGAATTTTTTACTGCAAACATCTTTAATAAACATTACACTTTCCCTGTAGGGTGCATACCTCCAAAACATTGTTATCTTCTTATCTATTGTTAAAACTGATAAGGACAATCGCCACAATTATTCGCTTACAAACTTCGTCATAGCTGTTAGTCACATTTTATAGTTGAAGACGACAACATCGCTGTTAAACGAAAAAAGAAAATACATTGCACCAATTAAACAAAAACGCTCGAACAATAAAGAAAACATTTACTAACTTCAGAAACTACAGATTCTAACAATGTGAAATACAGATTATGTCACCAATAAACATATTAAAACTGCTCTGTCTTTTGGGTCTAACCACTCTAACAGGGGCAACTAATTTCGTGTGCCCAAGATTTTGCAATTGCGATGTGTATTTACAACTGAATCGGGCACAATGTAGGTGAGCTGAAAATATTTAATATTTAGAATTTAATAATTATTTAATTTGTGAAAAAATATTTATTTTGCAGTGGAAAGAGGCTTATAAGTGCCGATGTGGAATTATCGAAATTTGTACAAATTTTGGACTTGAGTCACAATGAAATCACTGCCATTGATAATGCTGCCTTCAAGGTAATTAACATTTGTTTGCTGTCAATAACAGTCTATTGATAGATAATTATATGTGTTTCCCCATCTAGAAATACAACCACTTGCGTTACCTGAATTTGTCACACAATGCCATACAAAATCTGGATTTAGATAGCTTTTCACATTTGAAACGCCTAGAACAATTGGATCTTTCATACAATCGTCTGGAATACCTCGACGATAGATTATTCGAAAGAAATCGCCATTTAGTGGAACTTAATTTGGAGGGTAACAAATTTATGTCCATCTCCAATAAGCCTTTGCTGCGAAGTTCCTCTCTGAGAATACTAAGTTTGAGAAATTCTCAATTGAGTTTCATACAACCAACATTGTTCGATGAATTACCCAACTTGACGGAAGTGGATGTATCAGAAAATCTCTTAAATACCTGGCGGGTGGAGGATTTTGTCACACTGCGACATTTAGCACAACTAAAATTATCGCAAAATGTTTTCAAATGCGACGTCGAGATACAAAAGAAAATCGCGGATTTAAAAGCTCAAAAGCTTGGTATACAAATTGAGCTCAATGAGTGTACAGCAACACCGAAAATTCTTAGCCAAGGTATTGAGAAATTCCAAAAAATGGTTATGTTGGACCAACCTATAAATGAGTCTGAGAATCCTATAAATATCTTCAAGCAATGGCGTTTAAATTTCGAAAGTGAAGAAGATTTTGATGATGACAACGATGATGATAAACATTTTGATGAGGATGATGACGATGTGAACAGCGCTAATCTAGCCAATAGTGAGTGGCTACGCTTTGCCCCCGATGCTGCTTTGTGTGATACCGAAAAATACAAACTCTGCCACAGTTATCGCCAATGTTTGGTCAATCTAAACACGGCATGGCATGAGAAACGTTCCATGGATTCGTATGTGTCGAGTGAAACTAAATTTGCTTTCTTCTTGGGTGCAGCTTGTGGCATAACCGTTGTCATCTGCATACTCACCTGTGCCTTGTGTTTGAAAAATTGCTGTGAATCCAAACGAAAAGGTAAGGGTAATTAAGGCTATAATTTCGTTCATGGGAGATACCAGCAGAACTAGCATTTAAGTTTCATGCAGAATGAGATTTTCCGCGAGAAACTCAGTTGTAAGATTGCGATTTGTTTTCAGAGGAGTGTCAAGACTAAATGGTATATATTATGTTGGGGAAAAAGAAATTTTATTATGAACTATAGGACTAGAAGTCGATTTTCCCAATCCTCCCTAGATACCAATTTTTTTTCTGGCGAGTCACTGTAGATATGTGTGGCCTAGCGTTGTTCTGGTGGAACACGACACCTCTACTGTTGTTTAATTCTGGCCGTTTCTGATCAATTGTTGACAGTAGAGATTAGAATTTAGGGTTTGGTCATATGGAAGCAACAATAAATAATCCCCTTCCAGTCCCACAAATACGTAGCAGAACCTTCCTGGCTGTTAGTCCTGGTTTGGCAATCGTTTGAGGTGGTCCCTCCCAAGTTTTGGCTTTCTGAGCCTTGTAGCCGCAGAAGAAAAGGCTCTACTTAGGCATTTGAGGTATGTCCGTCTGTCTGTTGTAATCACTCTAGCCTCTAAATGATTTGAGATAGATCGTCAAAAGTTTGCATAGAGTGGTCGTTTGTATGCAGGCAGGTCATGTTGGATAATGGGTTATATCGGTCCACGTATAGCCGCTATATAAGAATACCCCCAATTTTCGATATTTTGGGGGTTTTCAGCGCGATTTCAACCGAATTCGCTAAAATTTGTTACTTTGGGTTCTTATGGGTACCAAGTTTTTCTATTAAAATTATAATTATAAGTCCATTGTTTCGGGTAGACCATATATAAGGTTACCCCTAATTCTCAGCAAATCTTTCCACTAAAATTATAATTATAGGCAAATTTTTTTCGGATATCACCCATATAAGAGGACTACCCAATTTTTTGGGTTTCTTGAGAGAATTTTCCAACCGAAATTTTGTACATTGGATTCTTATTATGTACCAAATTTCTACACAAAGTATTATAAATATAAGTTCACTTTTTCTGGTAACCCTAAAATAACGTTACCACTTTTTCGACCGAATTGGCTTTTATTTAGTACTATGATTTCATATTGGGTAGCACATCATTTTTTCGGGTAGCACTCATATAAGAGTACTCTCCAATTTTCGGTACTTTAGGGTTCTTGAACGGGGTTTTCAACCGAGTTCGCTGTAATTTGTAGTCGTATATGGTAATAAATCTCCCTCACAAATATTGAATTCTAACAGGATTTAGTCATCTGTTGTAATCATTCTATTTTCGGGACATATAGAGATAAAAACCTTCAACGTCAGCTTCGAGAATGAAATATATCTGCCCGCATTTAGGCCTAGGCCCCATATAATGATACCAACCGATTTTAGGTATTTTTATATTTAGCGTGAAGGTATTGTGATGCACAAATGTTACGTTCGAAATTGCTCTATATTAATCCTCAATAAGGCCTCATATAATGATAACTCAAAATTGAACCAGCAGCTTTCACCCCACTCCCCGAAATAAAATCCTGTCTACGTTGGCGATGACCTCATATAACTTTGGCCTCTAAATGTCAATATTTTGGGGATTTATACACATGTTCGACGTCAGTCCAATACTGTTCATAAATGTGTATTTGGTGTACATTATGGTTTACAACAAACGCTTGGTACAATGGTTTATAATGGTATATTTTTTGACATGTTCCCTATATTTTCATTTCAACTATCGGTATACCTATGGTAGAGTGATTTTTCACTTGTTGCTACCCTATTTCTCAATCCGGAGTGTCTTTAACGTAAACAACCTACTAGCAGACAATTTACTTTTGGGTTCATGAGAATACGAGTTTCGAAAAAGATCTGATATAGGGCTTAAGGTGTCGGAGTCTATGTGTGATATCTATCCCTAATATAACAAATATATCTCCATTTGCTCACACAATACCAACGGTAACAGATTTAGTTCATTTCGTACACATGTAGTGTGTGTTTCCAAAAATCCAGTTTATATGGAAATCCACATATACACCAATGCTAACACACTTACAAAATTTCAAGATTCTCGCTTCTTAATCTTTTGTTATGACAATCTTTCAAAATTACTTATTATTTATGAAAATCCACTATTGTTACGTTTAATATACAATGTTACCTGGTAATAAGTAATTTAAATATTTTTGATTCAACTAAAAAAATGTATAATTTTTTGTATATATACACATCACAAACTCACGATTTCCCAAACTAAAATTCTCGATATCTTTATCTTCTTGCAGATCGCTTAAGTGATGTTGAACATTCCGGATCCGGCGATGTCAATACTCCAGCATTAGCACGTCAACAGTTGCCACCACAAATTCGAAGACAACCCCGGCGACGAGTCGCCACCTCCAATCCTCCACAACGTGCTCCCGTCGTACGCTATGAAGGTCCTGTTGCTGAAAATTTCCTTTCCCGTTTATTTGGACATCCAGCACGTCGTCAATATTATCGAACCATTAATCAAAATACAGCCACACTGATTAGACGCCTGAGCCGTAGTAATTTATTTAACAATCGTCTGAGTCAACATTTTGCCGATAGACAAAATTCAACGGATGACAATAATGCGGACACGAATCACTATTCACCATCGGCACCACGGCCTGAAACCCCGCCACCATGTTATGGTGATGTGGTGGTTAGTGATTGTGAAGAGGGACGAAAGTAGGACTATTTAAAGGAGTGTTGAATATTATTTGTTAACAAAAATAAAATCGAATTAAATTATAGTATGAGCATGCATTTTGAAATTAAGAATGAAAAATGTAACTAAATTAAAGAAAAAAAACAGTATTTTTTTTATTTTTTTTATTTTGAAGTAATAAGTTGCCTGTGATTTTTTTCAATGCTTGTCATTGTTTTCAGCGTCATAGGGGGAATATACCAACAAGTAGTAGAGAGAATAAAATAAGACTTAATATATTTTCCAAGACGATTTTGTGGAGTGTTCCTTTTTAATATTTTCAAGTTGCGGTTATTTAAAATACAATATTAGGCGTAAAATTTTAAGGAACATAATTTAAGGCTATAATAGTTAATACTTTAAAGAGTATTTTTTGGTAAGGCCATCACAAGCAAAGCCTTTCAGAGGTTGAATTTTTTAAATATCATCTTCTCTGAGACCCACATGAAATGCATTTCTTAAGAAAATATTTTAATGGGGCCGTAAAGTAGTATATTTCATATATATTATGGATTACCTCGCATGAATGAGCTTCTTCAGATGGAAGCAAAACTTTTGAACATGGAAGATCCAAGTCTTCTTCAAGTCATTTACAGATGCAAGAACTTAAATTTAAAGTCTTCCAAATAAAATACTGTTCTCAGCCCTTTTATAAACCCAAGATCTTATTTGAAACTTTAAGAGTTTTTTTAGCTTATTCTGCCCGTAGAATTATTGACATAGATTATTTTTTTAATTAGAAAATTTAGTAACTCTTTGTCATTTGCCATAAGAATAAAATTCTATGTCGACTTACGCATGTCTGTCTGTTAAAATCACGATAGAGATCGCAATATTTAAGATAGAGTTTTGAAATTTTACTCATACATAAAATACTCCTAATAATCCTAAGATGTTTGGTATGGCAAATGGGATATATTGGTACACGAATTGTTGTAGCCCCGGGAACGATAACCCAAATATTCGGTATTTTATTTCGTATTTTGCACAACCCGGCACCAAAAATATTGACCCCAATACTCGGTATTTATACCCTTTACCACACGGTGGTACAGGGTATTATGTATGTGTGCATATGTGCAAAAGGCAAAATGAAACGAGATATACACATGGTTCCTTTTAAGAATTACTTTTATTATTTTTTGAGTTACCGTGCCTGCCATTCGTAAAACATTGCTTCGAGAAAAAATGTTTAAAGTTTTGAGAATTACTCTTGCGGTCACTTGATGATGACACAATAAATCGGCTATATCTTCTAGAGTTATTGAGATTTTGACTTGAATTTTTGTAAAGAATTGGAAAGTGTGATATTTTTTAAATCTTTTGTGTGACAATCGACAAAAATTCCTAAATTTCCTAGGACTTCATTTTAAATATATATATATATACATTCAATTCGTTGAATTATTAAATGTGGTATCAGACCTATAAGAGACTAACGTCAGACGGTGCCGACTATATGGTACTCTACACTAATTTCTTATTGTAAGGTAAAATAAGTTATATGTGAATATATATAAGTCGATTCAAAAATTAATCAATTCCGAAGTGCCGGTAGAATTCCATGCCACTCGACTTAATCCGCAATCGGAGAAACGTGGAGCTATGACGCAGCGTTTACATACAACGTACGGATGTATATATAGATCTGAAGCAAGTTGAACACTAGCCAATATAGGCATTAATCGGTAGTCCATGAAAAATGTCGTGTCAATGGGACAGACATAATGTCTTTCTTTTCGCTATTAACATGACATCGGGTCGATTATATATGTGTGACGTGATAGGAATTCAGTACAATCTACACACGGACAGGGACTACCGCAGTTGGGCCCGGACAAGGGAACAAAAAATCATTGCCGACAATTTTGGGTTAAACATTTAGTGCAAAGAAGGGTTGGTAAGCAAAAGTAAATGTTAAATGTAAAGTGTTCGAACTCCGAACCTTTTTATAGAACTATATTATTTGACCCATATTTGGACGAACTAATTGTAAATATTGCAAGCAGATTTCTAGAAAATTAAAAAATGATGAAACATTACCAAAAATTGTTGTTAAAGAAATCGTAAAATTTTATGAAAATTACCTGAAAGTGGATATGTGGATCGTTATATGGAAACGAAAGATTCCCGACCATTGTTTTATAACATAATTATCTGCAAATTTTATTTTTTTAACTTCGCACCAGCGAGCCCAAAATAAACAACTCAATTGTTTAACCACAAGGAAGTCTGAAATTAGAATTAAAGCTACATCGGCTGCCAAAAGGACGTATAGGATCTTCAAAGTACTTAAAATTTTGCTGGACCTTTATAAGAATGCTGTGCCAAAACATCGACCAATACAAATGCAATAGTTGTTTTTCATCTAGCCTGTAAGAACTCGGTTTAAAAATGCGAATTTAATCTTCAGAATACCCAAATGTGGAGGCATACCAAAACGTGGACCATTATTGAACATATTTTGCGAAGAAGTTTTTTACCCACTAATAATCCCAACTCAAAATGCCTGAAATGGAGCGGAACCTTAAAGAGGGGCAATGTCGAAACATGGAAATATATTAAACAAATTCTTCCGAAATATTTTCACCCTGCTAAAATCTGAAATGGAGAGATACTATAAAGCGTTAAAACATGACTATATTGAACATTTTCGGCACAAAGGGGGTCCATCTTGTAAGAACAGTAAAGCCAAATTACGAACCATTCGGTAAGACAATACGGTTTACGAAAATTGGCCAGGATCAATAAATATACTTTTGATATGAGAAATTCGATGAGTATTTAGAGGTTTTGCAATCGGAATGTCATGCATAATAAATTGTCCTCTTTATAATGGGGGGTATACAGACAGACAATTACCTCGTCTGCTTGTTCTTATATTACTGTTTAAAAACAAGGCGTGAGTTTCTTAGAGATATTTGATGTCTGACGTCGAATTACAGCTTTGATTTTTTTTGTGTTGGTATAGTTCGTAGAACACAATTCAAATGATTGATTTAAAAGATTTCATCTGGATTTCAAGATACTGACAACATCTTTTCAGTAATAGTTGGATAAAAAAATTATTTGATTATATGTTATCCAGATAAATAGGTCCTTAATATACACATTTTCTCATATTGTATTATTTGCGATACTTTCAATGAATATGGTGAAACTGATATGACACTCAGAGTAATAAAAACAAAATGTTCCTTTTTACACCGCCTACAAAATCAGCACATTTCAGCACATAGTATGCTACGTCGACTTAGCATGCATTAAAGTTCTTTACGTTTTTAGATACTACGGTCCTTAATTTAAATTCTCTGAAATTTTGGTAATCATCGGCCAATCCAAACCAAAGTTATAAGCAAAAATGTACTTAGCATGGCACGTAAGATTTAAGAAACTTCCATACTTTGAGAGCTTCTGCTGAAAAACTCACTTTTCCGACTTAGCATACTATTCTACGGAGGCGTCGATTTGATATATGACTGTATGGATATCCCTAGAATCCTACTACATTTTACGTCTTACAAATTCGATTCATGTCAGGCACGTGTACTAACTGAGAATATTAACCCCGTTTTATAGCCCCCGACTTAAACGAATTAAATGCGTAACCAAATTGCAATTCAAAAGATAAGATTTTAAAAAGGCGATTACAAATTTGCCCCTTCGATTTATTATCATCCACCAGAATTGATGCACTGCCCAGTTAACTGATTGCAATAAATTGTTATTATTATTTGGGTATAAATTGTCGAAAATTTTCAATTCGATCATCATCTGAACATCGACAAAGACCGCAAATGTCTAAAAAGTGCTTTATTTTCACTATCCTCATATTTTTGACAATTTCATGGGCTGTGATGTCCATGGAGTTTCAGGATGACGATGAATTTGCTGGTGGTTACATTGAGGGTGACATGCTGCCTGATGATTCCTCGCGTAATGGCTACCCAAATAAAAAATGGCCATTTGGAATACTCAAATATGTGTTTTGCGGAAATTTTAGTAAGTGATCCCGGTGAATTCTCACTTTTACAACTTTAACTAATGTCTCTCATTTCAGCTGAGGCTCAGAAGGATTCGGTGCGCAAGTGCTGTCAATTATTGGCAAATAAAACGTGTGTTCGTTGCGTGGAAACATGGCCCCTAGATTATGGTTATGTGTGCATTACTAACGACAAGCAGGGTTGCTATTCAAATGTTGGCTACCTGAACAAATGGTATCAGGACTTGAATTTAACTCCGACATGTTTGGAAAATTACATTGTTGTCTGCCACGAGATTATACATTCGCTGGGTTTTACACACGCTCACAATGCCTACAATCGGGATGATGTCTACCGAGTCAATTGGGAAAATATCCAAGAAGGACAGGAACATGCTTTTGAAAAAAGGAACGAAACCATGGATTGTCTTGTCCCGCTGAAGAAGGACAGTGCAATGAGCTATAAACGCTTAGCCTTTTCGAAAAATGGTCTTGAGACTCTTACACCACTAGATGGCAATTATACCCAAATGGGACAGCGTACAAGATTAACAGATGAAGATATCGCCAAAATAAATAGCATGTACTGTTACAACAATTGTACAGCGACAACTAATACAACGACATCGACAACAACAACTACTACTACCACAACGGAAGCAACAATTATTGCATAGAATATTTTTGAAAAATTTATATGATTTTTCTTCACTTTAGATCTGTGAGTTTTCCTTATTTTTATTTTTTTCAGCTCAAGGTAATTTGAATACCTTTAAAAACAGTTGAATTAAAATTTAATAAAATTAAATTCAATTTAAATTTAAGATTTAATTACATTTTAAAAAATTGCATTAAAATTTAATTTAATAAAATTTTACTTGGAAAAATTATTAAAATAAAAAAATTGGTAGGTGTGATATTCTTTTGTGTTACAATCATGTACTTCTGCAAGTGACTTAAGTCGGGGTCAAACATTTTTTCAAGAATGTCTCTACAAAATTTCAATTGAAAATCTCAAGAAATCTTGAAGATATAGCCGATTTATTGTGTCAGCATCAAGTGACGGCTAAAGGGCTTCTTAACTTTAAACGCGTTTTTCTCTTTTGCGAATGGCGGGCACGATATCTCAAAAACTAATAACCCAATCGATTCCAAATTTTTACACGTTTCTCTGTGAGTGTATAGCTATCGTATGAACTAGGATAAAGCCAATCGGTGAAGATCTTCCTTATTTTTTAACTTGGTTTTTGGTCAAAAATCGGCGATTTTCCAAAAATATTTTTTCAAAGGTCCACCATTTTGTTAATTTTAGAGAGAGAAGTCAATAATCCTAGTTCATACGAGAGCCAGACATGTACTCTTTCTAACACCGTTGGAATTTTCGGATTCCGATGTTCCAGTGAGGAGTTATCATGCCCGGCATCAAAAATAAGGACTTTTCTTTAATTACAAAAAACAACAACAAAACAATATCAATTTTTTTTGTAAATTATTTGTCTTCTCTTTTAAATCTTCAAATATATATGTGCAAAGTTACAAATCTTAACAAGCATTGGTATTGATTTACCAGCCCAATCTTATGATGATCAACCTTTTACATTGCGTTGACTTTCCAATCGTTGTGGCGCTTACCCGCCTTGTAAAAATTGTAAACTTTTCCGTTACAAATAATATCACTTAAAATTGTTGTTGTGGCATTCAGCTTTTTTAGTTTTTTTTTAGTTCGTATTTTACTTTTACATAATGTTTTTTTTACTTTTAAGAAAAAGTAGAAAATGCGACATTTTCGTTTTTGGTATTTGGTGTTGTTTGGAGCTGTCAGCGTTGTTATTATCACTGGCACTGGTAGAAGCTAGCCAGCCAGCAAGCCATCCAACCAACCAAACAGTCCACCACCCGGCAATGACAAAAGTTGTGGTGGCTGGTGTGAAACTGAATTCGGATACGGTGATGCTGTTGTTATTGTTTTCAACAAAGGATTATGCATCAAAAAAAAGTTTTTCATTAATTTTTGAATGTTTTTCGCGAGCAAAACTGCTACTTCTGCTGCTGTTGGCAGTGGAAAATGTTTGCAGTTTTTGGCCAATAGCGGGGCTTGTTTCGCAGCAATGGAAAAGTTTTGTCTTTATGTGAGTTTTTTATTGTAATTTTTTTCTGTGGAACCTCTACATTAGGTATAATTTGAAGGTGGGTGCATTTGTTTTAAGAGTCATGCCAATGAGGCGCAATTTATTTGAAATAATTACCTATGATCAAATATGCATAATATAACAATTTTCAATATAGTTTTTAATATTAAATGACATAATAGGTTCAAAATTGAAATCTTCAACAAAAATATGACTTAGCAGTACTTACATACTCACCAAGATGCAGTGCAAACATAATTCCAGAACTTAACAATTCCTGAAAAAATAAAATAAAAATTATGCGTATAAGTAAATATTTGTAAACTCATGATATCAATTTCTTTAATTTTGAAATTTAAATTCTGTAAGATCCAAATTGAGTTCGGATATTAAAAAAAAAGATCTATATTGCTAATTTTGGTAGTGAGGTTTGACAGCCAATGATAATACAAAATACCAAATTACAGACAATTAGGTTGAAAAACGTGTCCAACTTTCTCAAAAATACTGACTTGGGCCAATATAAATAATTTTTAGTGCGGAGTTGTAGTGGAACAATTCGGAACTGTGACATACACTGAGAACCCAAAATCAGAGCTCCGAAATGCTCGCTCGAATTCGAGTAAAGAGTGAAACTCGCTCGAATTCGAGAGGGAGTACTCCTGCGAGTAGAAAAAGTAAATAGAGTATACTCTATTTTTCTCTGCCACTCAAATAAGAGCGCAAGTGCTTCGCTCGTTTTCGAGTGGGAGTGAAATACGCTCGAAATCGAGCAGATTACACTCTTGCCGAGTACTCTTTTATTTTATTAATTTTTTGTTGTGATACCGTTGTTTTACTTGATGTTGTTTGTGTGCATTGTTTGTTTGTTTTGTGATGTTTGGTTTGCTGTACTGCTGGGAAAGCATGCATCAACAAGCTCGTTCTCTGCGTTCTCTTTTGATACTAAAATTAAATAAAGAACCACTTATGCATTGATGGGTTTTCTTTCAAACCAGCGCTTTTTATATTTGTGGAGAATACTTTTCCACATTTTTTAATGAATACTATTTTAAAAATTTGTATGGAGGTGTTTATGCTTTTAAAAAAATATTGAGTTAATTAAATCACACGTTTCAATTCCTTTTATAAATATGAAATAAAAAAAAACATAAAAATCTTATATGGTATAAGATTTTTATTTGTACCTCACATGTGTAAACATTTTCAATAAACAAAATAATCGATGTCCTTTTATGTTTTTTGTACATGATCTATCTCCCCACAGCACACAAAAGATCAACATCAAAAAAGTTTGCTACTACACACACACACACAAATAACCAAACAACCAAATTTATTTGTCCACTCGATTTCACTCTTAGAGTGAACTCATACTCTATTACGAACATTTTGACTCACACTCTTTTTCTTCAAGAAGGAGTACTCGCGAGCACTCCCAAACAAAATAAAAGAGTGGAGAGTATACTCCCTAAAAAACTCGTACTCTTTACTTACTCCCACTCGGGAGTATTTTTCACTCACGAGCAAAATCGAGCAAATCGGAGCTCTGCCCAAAATACAAAATTACAACCAATTCGGCGGAAAAACGTGTCCAAAATTCCCAGAAAACCGGATACTGGGGGGTACCGTTATATGGGGGATACCCTGAAACTTGTGTCTATATTAATAATTTTTGATACGGAGATGTGCAGCGAATTCGGTTGGGAAATGCGTCAAAAATGCGTACCCATTATACTGAATATTGGGGGTTACCGTTTTATGGAGGCTACACCAAAACGTAGATCGATATATCTAATTTCCAATACCAAACATCCTAGGATTACTAGCAATGTCTCACTATGTTAAATATGAGGACAGTTCGGAAACTTTTAAGCCTAGCACAAAAAGCGCGGTATAAATAGAAAAATTAGGAATGGGTGCTGTTATTAAATATTTATATAAAAAAGATTTATCGGGACAAGAAATTCATATTGGTATGGTGAATGTGTTAGGTGAAAGTGCTCATTCATATGCAATAGTAAAAAATTAGGTTGCTGAATTTAAACGTGGTCGTACAAGCATTAAAGATGAACCACGTAGTGGGCGTCCACAAACAGCAACAACAACAGAAATTGTAGCCAAAGTGCATAATAAAAGAGCGTGAAATTTTTAGTATCATGGGCATCTCAAATGATCGAGTCCATTTAATTTTGCATGAAGAACTACAGATGAAAAAGCTTTCTGCAAGATGGGTGTCGCATTTTTTAACAGTCTATCAAAAACACATAACATTTCTCCAGCATGTTTTGATCGTTTTAAGCGAAATAAAATGGATTTTAGGCGTCGTTTCGTAACTGTTGATGAGATATAGCTTCACTATATTCCAATGACAAAAGAACAATCCGAACAATGGACTGAAACTGGAGGAAGTGCCCCAAAGAAGGCAAAAACAATTCAATCGGCTGGTAAGGTTATGGCAACGGGTTTTGGGACTTCATTGACTATCTGCAATAGGGTAAAACAATAAATTCAGAGTACTATTGCAACCTTTTGGATCAATTAAATGTACAAATTCGAAAAAAAACGTCATGGCTTGCAACACAATATATTAATTTTATCCAGACTACGCACCAGCGCACAAGAGTGTTTTAACAATGGCTAAAATCAAAGAATTAAAGTACGAGTTGCTTGACCATCCACCTCATTCTCCTGATTTGGCTCCCAGTGATTTTACTTGTTCCAAAATCGGAAAAATCCTTGCTGGCATGCGTTTTACCTTAAATGAGGATGCAATTACAGTTGTAAACCACTATTTTGAAGACTTTGAGGAAAACTACTTTAATCAAGGGATTGAATTGAAGATTCAGGAGATTATATTGCAAAATACAAATATTTTTCAAAAACTAACTATTCTCTTTTATTGATAGTTTCCGAACCGCCCTCGTATTGCGATCTCTATCGGGATATCAACATACGAATCGACATAGTATTTAGTTTTAAGGTAGATTTGCAACAACTATTTCCACGATTTAAAGAATGTGTAGATATTTTAAAAATATTTCTTACTATCTAAACAATGTGTGCATTTTCCTATAATTTTTCTCCATATCCAAAAATGCAAAACGAATACTTAGATTATTAAAAAAATATTTTCTGAAGATCCAACACGATATACATAAAAAAATTTCAATACCAACCTGTTCCTACATTTTTTATAAAATATTTTTCCAAGACCGATATGATGGGTATATTTTTCAAAACTCTTATTCATGATCGAAAAAATGGGTACATTTCGATAAAAAAAAAAATAAATATTTAATTTCTTACCAATTTTCAATTGCAAAGTAGCATTAAATCGTTGCTTTATACGCCGCATAATGGGTTAAACGGACAACCCTTTTCGGTACGTAAATGAGGCCTACGCCTAAACTTAAGTCAACATAAATCAAACTACTATATTAGAGGCAAATTGGTTCAAAAACGGCACAAAGTTCCCAAAAACCCCAAAATTAGGGAGTTATGTGGGGGTTACCTTAAAAAGTGGACCAATTTTCCCATTTTATCAC